AAATATATATATATATTTTTTTTGGCGGACCTGTGGACGAGTTTTAAAATTACACCAGGGACCGGTCCCAGATTTAGGACTTATCTTTTCTCTTGTTATTTGACCATAAATATGTAAAGTTGTACGGACCGGGCAAGGTGAGATCTGTAGATCAACACTTGAGAAAACTCTGGCCTAAGCTGTTCAACTCATCCGGAGTCTGATTAACTTTTTGGGGCCAGGTGCAAACATAAGCACACACAAAAAATGTATCAAATAGACACTCTATATAACCCCTGTTAAACAATACATATGAGGTATATATATATATATATATATATATATATATATATATATATATATAGAGAGAGAGAGAGAGAGAGAGAGAGAGAGAAAAGACAAAAAATAAAACTGTGAGAGAATAATAAAAATGTATTGTATATGTTATATATATATATATATATATATATATATATATATATATATATAGAGAGAGAGAGAGAGAGAGAGAGAGAGCAAAGAAACAAAATTAAACTGTGAAAGGATAATAAAATGTATTGTAAATGTTTGCTCAGTCGGTTGCTATAATAATTATCATCGAATGAGAAGGTCTTTCGCCAGGCCATCAGTGAAGACAAGGGAATCGGTGATGTCTTGATAGGCAAGACTTGTCAATGCTTAACTCCCACTCGACGTTCAAAAAGCGTTCAATTTGCCAATCTGTTCTGGCCAACTTGTTGACGTCAATGGGGACTTAATTCTTTCTAGTTGTTTGAAATTATCTTTATCCACTGCAGTTACCAATTTCAACGTAATGTACGTACGCAGTGTGTTAAAAACATTTTTTTTAAAATTGGAGTTAGAGTGATAAATTATAGTGGTACATTATAGTGGTACATTACTGTGGTACATTATAGTGGTACATTGTAGTGGTCGATTACAGTGGTACATTATAGAGGTATACTATTGTGGTACATTGCAGTGGTATATTTTAGCGGTACATTATAGTGGTACATTATAGTGGTACATTATAATTGTACATTATAGTGGTACATTATAGTGGTACATTATAGTGGTACATTGTATTCATCATGTTTTGACTTTTTTTTAAATAGAACATCATTATATACATTCTTTGTATAGTGCGTTATTTATAACAGCTCAATAAAATGCGACAAATGATTCGATTGATTTAAATAGTGTAGTGCTGGTTTTTTTTTTTTTTTTTTTTTTTTTTTTTTTTTTTTTTTTTTTTTTTTTTTTTTTTTTTTTTTTTTTTTTTTTTTTTTTTTTTTTTTTTTTTTTTTTTTTTTTTTTTGGGGGGGGGGGACACTATAATAAAGGACAACGTTGATCAAACTCAGAGTAGGGTTCAATTATTTGGCTTAATTCAGTGACGACGACGGCATCAACTATGAAATAAAAAGTTTCGTTCCGAAACGTGTTTCTTGCCATTCCGAACAACAGCCGCTTCACTACTTACATCAGCAACCTCTCAAACTTTCATCGTCTTTTCATTTTTGAATGTGTATGTCGAGCTAGGGAGCTCAATAATAATTGTTGCGACTGGACATTATGTTTGATTACGCGCGATGTGTGTTTGATAGTTTGATTAGTTAGTGAACGATCTTCCCGCACTTGACTGGGTGACGCATTTTTATGCTCATTATGACGTAATGTCTGGTCTGTGCTGTGACGTACGTTTTATTCGTCTGGCAGTCTTGAGTGGAACTTCGTGGAAGTGGGATATGTTTCATTTCTGTCCGATAGCGAGCTGCGCTATGCGCCTGTGTTTATGGACTCTTGCAGCCTGTGTATATAAATTATAATTAGATATTAAAGTTACATTTATTGTGATCAAGGACTTGCGTTGATCCAAGATTAGTACGACGTATTACAGCGTGTGAAGGAACTTGAGGAATTAGCCAGCCTAGTAGACACAGGAGCTAACAATTTTCTCGTTTTATTTCAAGGCCTTTAGTTTCTTTCACTGCCTAATTTATTCCCGTGAGCATTGTATTGTTGAAAATTATATTTTTTTTTTTTTGCAAAACTAGATAAATGGTGACTTTATAGTGCTACATCTGTTCTATCAGCCTATAGTTTCTGATTGTTAAATTTTAGAGGTGCCATTCGTTCACTCCAGTATGGTGTTCCAAGAGATATAGTTTCTGATCGTTAAAGTTTAGAGGTGTCATTCTTTTTCTCTTGTATAGTGTTCCATTATCCAAATACTTCTGTTGATCTTCTAAGTCCCACACCACGCGAGGCATGAAGTGTAAACAACTCTATTTAAACATTCTCTCCAATGACTTATTTCAACTTCACGTTCAACTGTCCATCTCGCCCTTAGACAATTTCATATTTTTTTGCTAATTTAAAAACTTGACATGAACAGTGGTTTCAATTTATAAATGATCAATTTGACACACACAAATTTTCTTTCCTAGTTGGTCATTCGCTCCATATTTGAATCGGCCTCTCATCAGACGAAGTCCTCAGCGTTTACTCTTGCCATCGGCCTTTAATGGCTTTTTTTACGCTGAGAGCACTTTGTCGATGACGCTATTAGTCCCCCCCCCCCTCCCCACGCTTGGAGAGTTACTACATTAACAGACAGAAAAATGCCACTGGCGTCATCAATCTTCTTTATACAAAGCTCAGTGTGACTTTGTTTGTCTGCTTGTAAATGGGTCGATCGATTACAAGAAAAGCCAAACAATAGATCGCAACCAAATTTTGACATGACCATTCCACATGGCTCCAGGAAAGGTTTGTCATAATCCCTTTATCCACACACATACAGACAAAAAAAAAAAAAAAAAAAAATCTGTAATTTAAAAATCAAAAAAAGAAAAAAAAAAAGAAAAAAAAAATAATTTTGACATGACCATTCCACATGGCTCCAGAAAAGGTTTGTCATAATCCCTTTATCCACAAACAAACAGAAAAAAAAAAAAAAAAAAAAAAATCTGTAATTTAAAAATCGTAAAATGTAGAGGGTGCAGAGAACAAAAATATATAATTTTCATATGATGGCCTTGAAAAGGGTTCAAGTTAAGTTATTTTTAAGGTGTTTCGCATATTTAATAAGACTTTGTTTAGAATGGTGCGCTTTCAAACTTTTATCAAATAAGTCCATATTTTTGTGTAGATGAGAGCTGAATCCCAAACGAACTATACAATATGGTATAGTGCGTTCAAAAAGAAATTTGAAGCACAATTTTAACGTAAACACTGAAAAAAAAGGGTCTACCAAATTTCCGTTCGATCAAATTACCGTCGATCAATTTACCGTCGACGAAATTTCTTTCGATCAAATTTCCGGATACGGCACTAAGTGGTGATCGTACCTGAGAATAAAATTGTTGCTCGCTCTGCTCTATTAAGCTCTATAGAAACTGAATATCAAGGAATACTAGACTAGCGTTCAAATTGTTACATTAATCGTTACAATGAAAGGGTTAAAGAGACGGATAAACGGAATTAAAATGTGACGTATTTATCCTTTGGCACCAATTGCGTCAACTAGAAATTTTCTAATTGTTTAAGTAGCTTACTTAATTGTTTGATAAAGAATAGTTTACCAGGATCGAGGGGGGGGGGTTATAATTCCCCTCGACCCATCTATTCAAGCTCGATCTAGTGATATTTTACTGCAGCAAAAAAAAAAAAAAATAATAATAATAAGGGCAGCAAAGTGTGATGACCACTGACCTAGATGAAAGTTTCCAATTTTCCAAGCAAATTGTTAATATAAGGGGGACGACTGTGTTCGTTTACTTTTTTTGCATTGTCTGCTGAAGTAGGCGTTTAGCCGAAACGTCCTTTTCAAGTCTAATCAAATCTGAATATAAAGCTTTATTTATGTTTACATCTAGATAATGTACCTAGAATGAGAAGATTTTAAGAAATCTTACTGGAAATTTAAAAGATTACAGAGAAAAAAATCAATGTTATACAATTTACCAATCCAAAAATGCAATTGTAATATTTATCCAAACTTTCCCTAGCCCACGGTGCAAGTGTACGGGTTAAGCAGGGACACCTTTAAGGACATTGAGAACCTCTCAAATCTTCCTTTTCATTGTTATCAAAAAATTTAAGATGATCTCTACGCAAACCATTTGAAATAAAAACTTGACCCCTATTACACGATGCAACGTGTGCAGCGTTATCAAAATATCACGTGATAAGCAAGGTCATTCGAGTCAACGTAAAATACTTGAATGACCCCTTATGATAAAACTGAATTTGGGCAATGGTAGATACCTTTTTATTTTTGTGTGTACATTATGTTGAGTTACAGATAGTGACGTCAGTTTGTTTTAAACAGACACGTAATCATTTTTTGTTTTAAATTTAACCAGTGGCTAAAATAAAGTGTTTGACACTCATGGCAGACATTAGTGGAGGAAGGGGTTGAGACAGGTTGGAAGAGAGTCAGGACTGACGGGAAGTAATGGGGGGGGGGG